GGCGGGGCCGCTCCCGGGGCCTCCGGAGCGAGTCCTGCCCGGGGTGGGTGGCAGCGCGGGCCGGGGAGGGGACGTCGTCCTGTCAGGCCGTGAGGGCACAGGCTGGTCCGGTGCCCGAAAAGGTGTTTGTCTTTGCTTCTTCTCCGGCCAGCAATAACCTCGTAAAGCGGGCGGGGGGCGAGCCGGGTGCAGGCAGGGGCCCGCCTGCGGGACGCTTTGGGGAAACTACGTGTTTTGCCTCTTTGTTTCTTGTCCCAGTGTTGATAAAACGATCGATGTGCTGTGCCTCTCACTTCTTCACCAACTTTGTCCTTTTGTAGTGTCTGGCTGCTGCCGTCCCCCTTTTCCCATGTTGTAGCTGGTTTCAGTATGATCAGTAATTGGGGGAAATTCTGGCTGTGCGTTCCTCCCATGCTCCGATTGCTAAATTTACCATGATTTATTGAGTATTTCTGTTGAAACGTGGGAGATCCCAATAATGATAAAATACTTTCCGTGGTATCTGTCGACTTTTAGCTTTTTCCTACTTGGAGGCAGAAAATGAAATGTGTGCTAGAACCTCCTTGGCTTGTTTTAAGCGCGTTATCTCAAATGCATGTAAAAACTGCTCATTTAATGAGGTCAGGCTGGGTAATACTTGTGGTGATCGGTAGTACAGCTTTCAGGAAAGGCAATCTTCCACCTCTTGTGTATATATTAGTATATGTGCATATTAGTAAGGGCCAAAGCATTTCTTATAGAGATGTCTACGGTTATGTGACATTTTTATGGGCAATCTGAGCAATTATTAAGAAGATGCCCAAGCTCCTGTTGCACAGCAGATGACTTGTTTGTAGCGGTGGAGATTCTTGGTGTGACTGGAGATTCCTGGTGTGACTGTTGAGAGTCTTGTGAGCTAGCAGCTACATTGCAGAAGAAAGTGGAGCCTGACATTTGGTAGGAGTTTCACGTAAGCAGTTCTCTCACTGAGTATTCATGATGTTGTTCAGACCATGATAGGTGTTTTGCACCATTCTCGGTTATTAGAGGAGAAAAATGTTTTTGGAGGCTGCATATAGAATGGCCAGGTGTTTTGATTGTACAGGTGTACATTGGCGTTTGCGTATGGCTGAGAGCCGCAGCACATGTGCCTCAGATAACGGATGTGGAGAAGCCTATATGCAGTTTGCAGGCAGGTGCTGGTTGGGGGCTCCCCAAACCTTTATTTCAGGATGGGATTGGACTGAGTGTACTTTTGGGGTCCTGAGTGAACCAGAATTATTGATTCCAGTAGTCCCTCCTGCCTTCCTTTCACAACCAAGAACTTGTGTTTTCTAGCAGCCTCCCCATCAGTACGCGCCTGGTGTTAGCCATTTGACACTGTAGCTCTCAGATAAAAGTTGGAGGCAGTGCCAAAAGCAACAGGCTGCTTGTCCATTCCTGAGATGAATTGCCTGCTAATAAAGCACAAAGACTCTCTGCATGTGCGTGTTATGAAAATGTCCAGAATACTGAACAGGAAAACAATCTCTCTGGGGTTTTATTGAAGACAGTGGTTGTATGAACTAAATCAAAGCAATCATTTTGCCATAAAATGGTTCTGTACATTTTGCATGGAATTTCTGAAAAAAATCGGACTTGGAGACTGCTTAGAAATTGAAACAGGTATATCTTTCGTGAACCTATATGGCTGGATCCTTAATGTTGCTAACTTGTGAGGATAAAAATCTGCTCTGAAGACTGGAGGTACATAATCACTAGAGAGTTTATTAAATGTTTATTGACCTTAAAAATTATTGTCTTATTGTTATAAGCACTGTACTACTTTGCATTCTGTAAGTTTTACTGCTTTCTGGTTTTTACTCTCAGATCATATATCGCTTATGTTTACTCCCTGCTATGCTTGATGAATCATTCTCTTGCAAGTGGCTGTGAAATCTGTAATATGTATTCAGGAACATTAGAGAAGTGTGTTTTTACTGTAAAAATGACAGAAATGTCTAGCATTCTGTGTACAAAATTACTTTGTAGAGTTTCTGCTAGGCTAAAAAAAGTTACCTTCTGTTTCTTGCTTTTCTCTCTGTCACTGTAATTATTTAATTTATTCTTTGATTTTATTCTTTATCTATATTATATTTACTATTACTATTTAATTATCTATCAATCTATATCTACTCTCAATTTTCTTCTCTCTCTCTCTTTCCTTTTTCTTGTCTTCCAGTTTTGACTGTACTAACACCATTGCTGATTTGCTGCTCTTAGAGTGTTATCTTCTCCCAGTATCTGTACTTGGCCATCAGACACTATGAGGAGACTGGCTTTTCGAGGTGCTGGTTGTACTCTGGTAAATCTGGTAAATTATTGATTGTATGTGCACCATTCTCTCCATTTCTCTGCCTTAGGCTTTTGCTTTTCTTTATCCTAACTTAATTATTCCTGCCTTATTCATCTCATTTGTGTGCTTGAAATTAATTCTGTCTCTAACATAAATGCTCTGATATGGTTATGTTGTGCTGCCATACCTTGTAAATCAACCGAATGCTTCCTAGAGGAAATTCCGTGATTTGGTTGGAAAATGGGTGTAGGCTGGGATAGATGCATCTGTTCTGTCTCCAGCCTTTGAGACAGCTACAAATAAAGATATTTTTATGATGCTGTCACTGGAAGTTGGGAAAGAGCCAACAACTTCTTCTGTAAATCACCATAGTTGTTGGATGGTGGTTATTCATTTGTCACTGTTTGGCCATAGTTTTCCATTTATTAATACAAAAAAGGAGGTTGCTTTTCCTACTTCTTGATGATTGAGCCATTCATCCTACACATAAAGGGGGAGTGGTAGGTCACGCGATGGTCCAGACCTTTTTTTGGCTTGAATCTAAGACAAGGTATTCAGTAGCCATTTGAATTTTAGTTTGTAATTTGTTTTGTTCATGGTTTTTTTTGTTTGTTTGGGTTGTTTGTTTGTTTGTTTTTAGTTTGGCATGGAATGATGTGTTTTTACACCAGAACTGAGCACTTGTCTCTGTGCAGCTCTTTCCTTTAAAACAGCAGTTCTCACTTAGTTATCATGCATGGGATGAGGTATCAAAATGTAGATAGTTTAAGAAGGTATGCTAGTAAGAGCTGCTTAATTCATCTTCATCACTGTGAGCCCTAGGCTTTCTGACATTGCTGTAATCAGTGACTATAAAACTGTAGGACCATTTTGATTTCCCTTTGCTCCTGCCAATTCTCAGAAAGCTGGTGTTTAGATATATGGCTTAATTGAACTGTAGTGTATAACAAATGTATGTGACTCATCCTAAAGCATTGCTAGCTTTGTCGTTAGCTCTCACCAGGGAGTTTGGATGCAATGCCATGAGTTTAAGAACATCTCTCTTCATTATAGAAGAAGTTGGATTCCATGGGTTCCAAGAGGCGAAGAGCTACCTCGCCTTCCAGCAGTGTCAGCGGAGGAGACTTTGATGACAGCCACCACTCCACGAATATACCAGGCCCAAGCAGAAAGAGGAGGAGACTTTCCAATCTCCCAACTGTAGATCCTGTTAGTACCTTCTTATTATGCACAACTTTTTTTCTTGGGAATACCGTATCCCTGTCTGGGAAATGCTGGATTGTAAAATGGATGATCATATGTAGTACATATACACTGGCCCTGAATCTGTTGCTGCCTTGGCTAAGCTTGTTTAGGATCTCATTCAGCTTTGGCTTGTTCTTGTCTCCCCATTTTCATCTTTTTCTTTCCCATTTTCCTTTTCCTGCTTTTCTTTTTTTTGCTGATGATTTTAGCAGATGGAAGGATGTTGGAGAAGGAGCTGAAATCATCACATGCAGAAGTTGAGAGCTGTGTTTGAATAGCAAACACAGGGAGAGATAAGTGGGGAACGGCACAGGCAGTGATTGCTGAAGTGTACAATGTCTCTGTTATGCCTTTGAGTTAACAGTCTAATTTTAATTAATTGCAGGGCAGAAGAACCCCCGTCGTTGTTTTAGATGTCTGTAACTCTGAGAGAATTGTACTGAATTAATTTACATTTTGGGTGTTTTACTTAGAATTAGCATTGAAAGAAAGCTCCCTATGTTCAAAAAAATAAATTAAATTCTGGCATATTTGTCAGGTATCATTCTGATGTATGAGATCCACCAGTTTCTTCACACTTCTGCTTTAGAGCGCGCTGTGGATTGGCAGCTTGTCTTTCCCATTGTAAGCAGGCTTTGATTTGTTACCTCCTTAAAATTTTCTCCTTTTTCATTACTTTATTGTTCTTGCATTTTAGATTGCTGTATGCCATGAACTTTACAACACCATCAGAGATTACAAAGATGAACAGGGCAGGCTCCTTTGTGAGCTTTTCATTAGGGCACCGAAGCGAAGGTAAGATTGTGGTTCTGGTTAAGCCTTGAACCTGAGATTTAATCAGGGAGTAAGTGGATATTGAAGAATACTTCAGCATTAATAGCTGTGAAAAATTTAAGCTAAATTTGTCATAGTTTCACACCAGTGGTTGATCCGAGTATTCGATGTAATTATTCAATGGGACATGCTAACATTGGTGCCCTTTTTTAGTCAAAAACGGATACACTGAATTAATTTAAAATGTTTCTTGGACACCTGCCTAGAACATCTATGTCTTTGACTATAAAATATTCCACATAAGTGGTGGAATGTAATACTAAGGGCATGTCTTGGGAAGATGAATAGAAGCGACCCTTGAAAATGCAGCAGATAAAGTAAGAGACTGAATTTTATCTTAAGCTCAGAAAATTGAGGATGATAACAGAACATGTAATAAAGTAAGCCTGCAAATAGACCACTGTCCAGATCTTTTAGCTGCAACAAAAATGTGTTGGAATGTTCTTTGTTTTATTTAGTCATAGACACGTACAAACTTTAGTGCTGTGGTTTTGGTTTAACTGCTTGGAATATAATGCCTGTTTTTGTCATTGCAACAGAAATCAGCCAGATTATTATGAAGTGGTTTCTCAGCCAATCGATTTAATGAAAATCCAACAAAAGCTAAAGATGGAGGAATATGATGATGTGAACGTGCTGACTGCTGATTTTCAGCTTCTCTTTAACAACGCGAAGGCTTACTATAAGGTGAGGAAAAAACATATAAAGGCTCAAATTCATTGTAAAAGTGGTAGAGATATGTTCAAGTTCTTCCTTGGTTTGGTCAAAAAACTTTTCACTTTAGCCTTTATTATTGGTAAGGGAACAGCACACATTGCATGCATTTCCATAAGGTTTGACCATATCTGTGTATGATGTCCTACTATAGCAATTTTTCTGTGGAAAACTATAAAATAATGTGGGGAGGGTCTTCATGTAGTTTTCCAAAAGAGAGAGAAAGCAAAAATAGAGGTGTAAACTGAGAAAAATATTCTTCTATCAAAGACCTCCCATTTTACAACACACTCTGTGTGACCTATTGAAGTAGAAAAAGAGTTTATAAATAACAGCAGGCATGCAGTAGGAGTGTTGAATCTTTCTCTTCCATCGGCCACTTAATAACATGAAAGAAAAGCACATTGATTATCATGGTCAGTGATGATCGATTGTGAGTGTATGTGATGACGTATTTCATCAATGGTGCAACCCCCATGTCCGTTTCCCCAAACTGGGTATATGTTTTATTTTAAATGTTAATGTTTTTTGTTGCAGTTGCCATAAGGAAGTAGGAAAAAATTGGATTAATCTCATTTAATGGAAGGCTATGTTAAATACATAAACCAGTGAAATTGTATGTAGTGCCTGAGATGATGCAGCAAATCTAAAACTGCTAATATTACCTTTCATATGTCTTTGACTTTGGAGGTGATTTAAATGACTGCTTTCTGAATAACCCAACCAGTGTAACCAGGTGACATTCAGAAAAGCAATGTTTATTTTGTTTACGTTTGTGTGGCGTGTAGCTTTTTGAAAAACACTCAGATTTATGGCTTAATGCATATGCACATTCTGGTTACAGTAGAAAAAGTACAAAGACTTCCAAATTCATTGTGTAATCCTGAAGCTTTGCAAGGCACTTGCCCATTAATGTTGGCTTTTTCACGGTTTCTACATGAGGGAGAAGGACTTGATGGCAGGAAAGAATGCTTAGAGTTTTACAAAATGTGTGCTGCCTTTGCCTACAGAATAGTGGACTCAAAATTATGCCTGTATCGTAAAAATCTTGCCTGTAGAATAGAAATAGGTAGCCATCGTTCTAGGATGAAGGAATGTTGACATTTCCAGAGAAATATGGAGTTGTGAGCTGGAGGTATGGCACACAAACATAACCTCTTCTTTTTTCATCTTTTACCTTATCCGTGGCAGTTCCAATGGTGATATAACACAGGGATGGCTGATTCATTGTCAAGGTCTTTATTGCAGCAGATGTTTTATTGGCAATGCTAGATTAGAATGGAAACCTTTGGGTTTTCAGTATTTCAGTTCAAGTCTTACACTTTTGAGCATCTTGCATTTATATAGAAGGAAGCAAGCTAGTGGAGCAGAATACCCTTTAAATCTGTTCCTCGTAATTAACACCTCATCTAATGTCTTGAGAATATTTAAACCTAATAAGGTAAGCTTAAGAATAGTTCTCGTGTTGGTTTCTCATTTGTATTACAAGCTGTCAGAGGCTGAGAGAGTGAAGAAGAGTGTAATCGGCAGTAATAAGGTTACATATCTGCAGGAATACCTGAAATAGAGGTTAAGTGACAGAGGAAAGGGAAAGAAAAATACAAAAGAGTGGAAAAGCAGTCTTTTTTCTGGGTTATGTTCTTAAGTGGTAATGTTAATAGGCACATGCTTGTCTGCCACAACAACTCAGTATTTACAAAACTTAATTTGCTGACTAATGCTTCTAGCTCTTCCAAAAAAATATACCTAGATGTGTACCCAGATGGTGGCATGTTGTCAAGTTCTTTGGAATTTCACAGTTAATTCTGAGTTATGGAAGGGTATAAGTCATTGCAGTGCTTTCAAAGATATTGGCACATTTATTGGCATTCTTCTTCCATAGAAATTAATTTTCAAGTGCCGCACAATGGCGGCAGTATTGGCTTATATCACATTTCTGGCATACTGATATTCAGTCTATTTTAAATACCAGTAGTGTTACGCTGCAACAAAACCTGATGACTTCTGCAGATTCATCTAATAGGCTCGTCCAAGCCTCAACCCAAGTAATTTTATTGAAAGACTTAGATGCTTTGGAGTGATAGGAGGTTGTATTTTCTAGTGCTTATTGCGATTCTTAACATCTCTATTGAAGAACGGCTGAAGCAGCGATTTCCCAGGTTTTCTATTATTTATTTAATGCATTTAGTACCTTTCAACTAATAATTTATAAATTTCCTTCATATAAGAACGATCTGAATTTTGAGTAGAATGTTTGAATTTTTTTTTTGCAGCCTGATTCTCCTGAATATAAAGCTGCCTGCAAATTATGGGAGTTGTATTTGCGCACAAAAAATGAATTTGTTCAAAAAGGTGATGCTGAGGAGGAAGATGAAGATGAGGAAGGACATGACAATCAAGGCACAAATTCTGAATTAGTAAGTGTGGGCATGGCAGCTGCAGTTAGAGGAAGCCATGGCTGTGTATGTCAGCTGACTCTGAGAGGCAGATTGGCCGCCATATGTGGAAAAGCATTAAGTCTTTTCATAGTTAAATTATGCCCCAAAAGCTATTTCTTATACAAGTTTATTAGTTAATAATTTCACAGCATTGTATGTGTGTTTCACTTTTTGTCTAGCAAAAAAAAGTTATGAGGTTTTCTGATATGGATAAAATGTGGTTCTGGTTTAGTTGAAACTAATATGATGTGTGCTTGGTATCATCCCCGCATTGAGGTTTGATGCGAGCCAGCTTCATGTCTAATGACACTGTTTTCCAGTGTGTGTCCCCTTCAGTTAGTGCAGCTGTTCATGGAGTGTTTTATAAGCCAGATATAATAGGAAGTTTGGGCTTGTCTGTTTTTTGTGATGTTGGGATGCATGTTTTCATTAATGTTGACAACCACGTCTATTCTAACAATACGTAATATATGTCTGACAGTCTGCAGTGTAAGTGTGAAATTAAGGTTTTCTCATATGCTTTACCTAAATGGATAAACAATGTTGTTTTCAAAAGTTGCATCCATGTTTTATAGCTGACTTTTTTCTGTCTTTGAAAAGTAAATTCATATATTTCAGTGCAGCTTGAAGCACTCCACTATGGCTGCTATTAAAACTCTTTGTGATTTCATTTCTTATGTTAGTCATCTCCAGGATACCTGAAGGAAATTCTTGAACAGCTTCTTGAAGCTGTAGCTGTTGCCACAAACCCATCAGGACGCCTCATAAGTGAACTGTTCCAGAAACTTCCTTCTAAAGTGGTGGGCATTTTAATAATATTGGTTGTGTTCTAAGTTGGAAACCCGGACATTTATGTAACTGATTGTGTACGCCATGATGGGCACACTCAGGATGCAGTTCGCCGTTACTGTCTCATCAGTGGCAAACTCCAGCTGTTTTCAGAGCTTCCCTCCCTTCTTTGCTCCTACCCTCTCATTCCCAGCCCTTCATTGCAGATTGGGGCTTGCCCTGTTCTGTCAGTTTAGTTAATTGGGGTCTTTTGGTGCAGAGTCTTTAATTTTTTTAAATACGTCTGATTTCGCTGTTCTGTTTCAGAGTGTGGTGTAACAAGTTTAACCAGCAAAACACATACTCTGAAGATCATCACCGCATATTTGGCTTTCAGACAGAGCTGTTCCTTTATGTCAGTTTACTGATGAATTATAATTCCTTGTATCTGCCTTATGATCTGGCTTGCCCAAATTGAAGCCTAGTGCTATGTTTATGAAGCTTATGCTGTTCTTATCTGCAATTCATCTAATAGCTCATGCTATGAGCTATTGGAACAATAGCTTTGTGACTATTTATAGTAACACATGAATTATTTTTGTTTTCCAGCAATACCCAGATTATTATGCAATAATAAAGGAGCCCATAGATCTTAAAACTATTGCCCAAAGGATACAGGTACAGTATGAGCCTATTAATGTGTCATAGTATAGACTTGTTTAACAGTAAGCATTCTAAAATCGTTAGGAGCCAAAGTTTACGGCGGTAGGAAAGGCAATGTATTTTTCCCCTGCTACTTAAAAATCTGAACACTATACTGATTTAATGTTCGGTCCTGGGTTAATGCTGCAGAAGTAGCTGTGTTGCAGATCATGCATTGTAAACTGTAGTGTGCTGGCATTGAGCCTGAATATCTTGGGTTCCTTGATGTTTAATGGTTTAAAGTAGTTCCTTGGCACGTACTGCTAATGTAAAACATTGAGGTATTAAAGCTTGGTCGTGCATTATCATCACGTACTTTTGTTCTAGTGCTATAAATAGATGTTTTGTACTGATGTATTTTTCATCTTACTTCTCCAGTTATTTGAAATATTGTTCTGTAGTTCTAGCATTTTGTATAATAGTGAGGGATAGCACATAGACTAATTGAACTAGAGAATAAAGGTAAAATAACATTTTTTCAGAACCCTTCAACATTAAGATAATCTAACGCTTTAAGTATTTTTTCAATCTTTTACTTAGCATTCATAAGCACTACAAGGACTTAGCACTTTTGTTACTTTTTTTTGATGACTTTTTCCAGATACTTATCTGTTCTCTTTATAACTATGTCCTTGTTTTTCTATAAATGTTCCCTTTATTCTATATGAATTCCCTTTGCTTTTCACTCATGCTGTCTGAAGATTGCCACTTTAACCAGTTCTATTTTTTGTTGCATAGAATGGAACTTACAAAAGCATTCATGCAATGGCCAAGGATATAGATCTTCTGGCAAAGAATGCCAAAACCTACAATGAGCCTGGATCACAAGTATTCAAGGTTAGTTTCAGTTGTTCATAGTTTGATTTGAGTTCAGATTTTCTTTACTGCTTTCTGTGCTGATTGATCCTTAAATGAATCTTTAGCATAAGGCCCTAAAGACTCTGTTTGCATTTCTTAAAAAATAGCTATTAGTGGCTTTTCCTTTTTTATATTGCTTTTAGTATAATTGGGGTGCATGTAATGTTTTTTTTTTCCTTGAGGTATGTGATTATTTCCAATTAAATTTTATCTCAGGATATGAGTTACATAACTTCTTTGGAGAAATGGAGGATCCCTGTAGTTGTGATTGAAGTGGAAGTGGCTGAAACAAGTGATAGTGGTAGTACTCAGTTGTTGTCTCTTTCCAGATTGCAGGAACTGTTTATGGTTTTCATCATAAGCTTGAAAATCGGAGTCAAATGTACAAATTATCACATTGCTGTTACCATGTACTCTGGATGTAAGAGAATTTCAGTGGTAAATTAGTCTTTTGTGTGCTCGGTTTTTAAGGGCTTTGTAGTGAGACACCTTGTATATGTATGTTATTATGTAAGTGGTTCTTGGACTTTGCCAATTGCACTTCTGTTTAGATTGTAGTTTCAGTTCCTACCGGCATTACTTACACTTGTAACCTCACTCAAAACTTGTAATCTCTATTTTGTGAACTGTTACTCCAAGTATCAAGTCCATGGGTGTAGAATGAGAGAGACCAAGCATTGTAAACCTCGGTAATGGTGGTAACTATTTGATGGCAAAGGCACAGAAGCTAATTTCCCTGTTCAGTTCAAAGTGGTATTCGTGTATATTTGCAAATTGTGGATTTTTATTTTTTTTTAAGGGATATGACAACAAATGAGCTTGAAGCTACTCAGCTATTCAGTTCAGTTTTTACAGGCTACTGTGGATGTATTTCAGGAAGACTTTGTTCTGTGTTTGCATTTCTGATGCAAAATTGTTTTACATCTAAATGTAAAAACCCCTTAATTTTTGTTTTAGATTTTTAGATAGATGGATATACCTGACTATAACATTCTTCACTTTCAACATTAAACAAAAAAATTCTTTTGATTGACAGGATGCAAATGCAATTAAAAAAATATTTAATATGAAAAAGGCTGAAATTGAACACAGTGAGCTGGCCAAGTCAAGTCTCCGAATCAGGTACTGCGAATAGAGTTCTTTTTGTAATTTCATATAAAAATCTCTATAGACATTCCCTTAATTTTGCTGTGGAGAATACAGTGGGAAATAATTGCTTGAAAACTTAGTTTATTGTTGTTTTAAAAGTTATGAATTGTAAAATAGTTTTTGGAAGGAAACTTTTTATTTAAATACTTCTGTGGTGAAATATTTATGTGATGTACTTGATTGTGAAAAACAGTGTCAGTGGATCTTTTATAACTTAAGCTATGGCCAACTTCCACCATATGTGTTTAGAAGTTAATAACCGAAAAGGAATAGTGAGGAACAAGGTGCTTTGTTGTGCTTTGCTTTATGAAAATGCTGGATATTCTTGAACCTTTTTAGGAGCTGAAACATAAGAGCTCACAGTTAATTAGGGAGGGGCAGAAACACAGGAACAAGACATCAGGCAACAGCTATTTAGAGGGAAGTCCACATTATATAAACTCTTGTTTGAAAACCAATTTCTAGCCATGAAAAGAGGCACAGGACACTGAAGATTTGGACTTTGTTAATCAGTGAAGCATAGTTTTGGTCTTGAACAGGCAGGTATAAAACACTGTTGATAGCTCTATTTGTTTCATGGAATGATTTTATTTAGGAAACAGCATTTTCTTCCTGTGAACATCCATGTTCATCGTGCGATGCAGAGAAGTGATGCAGTCATTTTAGATTTTCTTATCTGAAATGCAATTAAATTTATTCTTGTATAAACTTTTTACGTATGAGTAACACTGAAAAGTAGGTAGATATTATTTGCCAGTATGAGCTGTGTCATTTTTCTAAAAAAATAAAGCAACATCTTGCAAGTCATCCAAGGAGTTAGCAAACTCTTTACAGGGTGGCCTCTCTTTATGTATTTGAGCTGTTTGCTGGTATTTGATGCTGGAAAATAGCTGCTGTGCTTTCCTACAAAGGTTTGTATGGTACAACTGAGAACATTATCACTCCCTTACTTTACTGAAAGGCAGTTTAAATTTTTTTGTTGTCTGAAAAATGTGTAGATGGTGTCCGTATTAAAAGTATTGCCTAAGATTATTACATGTGAAAGAAATGGAAGTTACCTGATTGGTCTTTACTGTTTGGTTTTTGTGGTTCATTTGTTCAGAGTTAGCATGCTTCCCATGTTTGGGTGAATCATTGTTGGAGCATATAAAAATATAAAAGCAGAAATACTATTAGGGAGTAATTCCTGACACGTATTTTAATAATTTTCCTTCTTAAAAGTATGCGTAGTGCCAGAAGACCTTGATTCTACAGGCACTGAACGTACATATGTGTTTGCCTTGCAGTAACTAGAATTACATATAAGCATAGAGGTTTTCTGTTTAAATTGTGATTTTATTTTATTTTTCTCACTGTGTTGGCCATTGATGAAGCTCAGGATGTCAGAAGTGTGTGTCATGTTTACTTTTGAGGCTCAACTGTTTTTCTTCAAAATAAAGCTGTTTGCATAAGAAGGGATGACAGATAAATCACACTGATATTTGTTAGCTGAATTCCTCTCTTGCACTGCCGACCCATTTCCACTTCTCAGCTACCTTATTCTATATTGTTCTCTTATGTACTGTGTTCTCAATAGACCTGCAAATTGTGAAGTAAGCTGAATGTCAGAATAATTGACAGCTGCCTTCTTTGTTTCTCTAACTTGGCAAAAAAAAATTATAATACCTGAAACAGGCTACAGTAATATTGGGCTGCATGCAAAAAAATTTGGGGTGAAAGAAAAACATCATGAAAACCAAACCTTTCACCTGCTCTTCTGCATTTCACTGGTTGCTTTTTTTAATTGAACCATTATTCCTTTTTTTGTTTCTTTCTGCTGAATCTGCATCACAGAATCATTTTTTTTTATTTAAATTCCTAACTGCTTAATTAACTCAAAGCGGGATCTCCTTTACCTATTGATGATTTTGATAAAATACCCCCATAAATTCATTTAAAGTTAATTTACTATATTTTTCTTCTGAATTTATGTCTGTTTTTCTTTGTCATTGATGGATCAGGCTCAAATTCATTGTAACGCTACTAACCTAAGTTCTACAGACATGTTGCCTCTGTGTCAAAAATCATGCTTTTCTGTCGCAGAGTTCATTGTATCCTTTGTCATAATAAATTGCTCTTTGTTGGTGCATTTAACTGTCCTCCCTTAAATAAATGACAAAGTTGCTTGACAATATGCACTGTCAAGCAACTTGACAGTGATTTTGTTAAGTATTGATAAAACATGATTGGATTTGTATAATTAGCTTTATCTGGATGCTAAGGAACATTTTGTTGGCTGCTTTCACTGCTATTGTAGGCTGAGCTGTGTGTATAGCTATTAATCCTTGCTCTGACTTTATAAACAAAATCAATATTAATGCTGGGGCACTAAAAGTATCTTAGTATTACTTTTAGCTTTAAAACATTTTATATCTGTCTCTGAACCTTTTGGCTGATCTATCAAAGTAATTCTGTAAAAAGCTTTATCCTTGCTGCATCTTTTCTTGGGTCTAAGGTGGGCCTCTTTTTTTCCCCTTTCCTTGGCTTGTCTCTTCTGCCTTAAGGACTCCATCAAATTTGACTGCTTCCAAGCTGACAGATCCTTCCTCACAGGGTAAAGGCAGTGTTGGTGATGAGAGAAATTCTTCTAACAAATATTATCGGTAAGTAAATTGTGGACTTGGAGGAAAAGCTGGGTCATCATCATATGGAAATACTAAAATTTTAATTTTTTTTTTCTTTTTAGTTGAGATTGCTCTTCAATATTTGAGATTCAGATATATTTCAGTCAGATATCTATTAAGTATGATTTAATAAGTTACTTTGCCATAATTACTCTTCCATGTTTGATTTTATATTTAACATTTCAAAACACCTGTCGTGAAATACTTTGTGTGCAATTATTTCCTTAGAAATGTTCTGAAGAACAATATGAAGCCTGTAAAAAGAAAGTATTGCATTTGGGATTCATTTATGGCACACTTGCTGGGTAGACTGGATTACTAGAGGCTTTCTGGTTTGTTCTTGCAGTCATCAATTGAGAATTTTGGTACCTAGCAGAGGTCTCGTGTCTACAGTCTGTGGGTTACTGTCTTGCAACAGTACTACCCCTGGCTAATTCCCTGCATGTATACTCTGAAACCATGGTTTAACACAGCAGCTGCAAGGGTCTTTAAGGGATTGAGCATTTGTACAGAGTTGGTGTCATTTTAAGCAACCCATCTGCTTTTTTCCAGTCTTCACTTTGCTCCCACAGGGCAAGGTTGAGCCCCTTGCTGGAGGTACCTAAAGAGCTGACCTAGTAAAAAAGCAGATTGTCAGGCATAGCCTACAGTGTAGGTACGAAATGCCGTGCCCCAGCTTTGGGACAAAAGGGAGGAAGAGAGAGACGCTGAAGAAGTCTTTGTGAGGCCATAGCCCGCGTGGACACTGATTTACTCCACCTAGAAAGCAGGGGAAGCTGCTTCACATACAGGCACTCTGTGTGCTGAAAATGCCTAAGATGGGGTGGGAGAATGAGGGAACACAGCATATAGAACTTACAGCGTGCTGAATTCCTGCATGTAGACAAATCCCTATAAAATAGGATCAAATAAAAAAGGTATTAACTGGGAGGGACTTGTTATCATCCCCCTTCTCCGCCAATAATTCAAATACTCAAGTGTTCAAAATAGGACACATAGCTTGAGCTCTGGCTTTCTGATTGTGTGTCCAGTTTTTCAGTTTGATGGACCGCCTCTTACAGAGGCAGACTCATGGATTGTCAACAGTTTCCCTTGTTGAGGACTCTAGTCTTTTCTTGCATAGTCATGTCTGTGTTCCTAGTAATGTAGGCAACAGTCATGAGCTTCACTTGTTTACTTACACACTCTGGGTGATTGTTAATGGTTAACATAACCCTTTTTTTTAATTTTGCACATTTTTTTTTTCTTTTTTTATAGTAACAAAAGATCAGCCCAAGGGGATCGTTTATCAGCAATAACCATGGCATTGCAATATGGATCAGAAAGTGATGAGGATGCAGCTCTGGCTGGTAGGAACTGAAATGAAGTTTGTCTGTTTATTTTCTTTAATTGAAATGTTTGGAATAAGCAAAACTGGAGAGCTCCTGATACATTCGAATATCTTTATTTCAAAAATATTTTGCAGTGTTTCCAAACTTAGCATGTAATTCTGTTAAATCCAACACCTGTTTCCTCTAAGTATGAATTTATAAATATACAGCTGGTAAGATAGGGTAAGCCAAACTTGCTTGTGTATTTTGAATTTGGTGTGTGTGTTTCCAGGTATACTCACCCAAGCTTTAGGAAACTGTTAGAATCATAGAATCGTTAAGGTTGGAAAAGACCCTTAAGATCATTGAGTCCAACCATTAACCTAGCACTGCCAAGTCCACCACTAAACCATGTCCTCAAGCACCACGTTTACCCATCTTTTAAATACCTCCAGGGATGGAGTCTTAACCACTTCCCTGGGCAACCTGTTCCAGTGCCTGACTACCCTTTCGGTAAGAAGTTTTTCCTAATATCCAACCTAAACTTCCCCTGGCACAGCTTGAGGCCATTCTGTCTCATCCTATTGCTTGTTATTTGGGAGAAGAGACCAACCCCCACCTCACTACAACCTCCTTTCAGGTAGTTGTAGAGAGCAATAAGGTCAGCCTCAGCCTCCTCTTCTCCAAGCTAAACAACCCCAGCTCCCTCAGCTGCTTTCTTTTAGGCAGTCGTAGAGAGCAATAAGGTCTCCCCTCAGCCTCCTATTCTCCAAACTACACAAGCCCAGCTCCCTCAGCCATTCCTCATATGACCTCTTCTCTAGACCCTTCACCAACTTCGTTGCCCTCCTCTGGACACGCTCCAGCACCTCAATGTCCTTCTTGTAGTGAGGGGCCCAAAACTGAACACAGTACTCGAGGTGCGGCCTCACCAGTGCTGAGTACAGGGGCACTATCACCTCCCTGGTCCTGCTGGCCACACTATTCCTGATGCAAGCCAGGATGCCATTGGCCCTCTTGGCCACCTGAGCACACTGCTGGCTCATGTTCAGGCGGCTGTCAACCAACACCCCCAGGTCCTTTTCTGCCAGGCAGCTCTCCAGCCACTCCTCCCCCAGCCTGTAGCGTTGCATGGGGTTGTTGTGACCCAAGTGCAGGACCCGGCACTAGGCCTTGTTGAACCTCATACAGTTGGCCCCGGCTTGTTTTTATTCCTTCTAATATATGAAACAGAAGAGGAGACACTGGAGAAGACATCGGGTGCTCATTGCAGTAAAAGAGATTTACAGTGCTGCAATTGTTTGAGAGAAATCTCACTTACGCTCACTCACACTGGCTTGTTCTCTCTTGCTCCCTTGTGCCATTGGGTCTTCTAAGTACGTGTCGAGTTTTATTTTTTTAAGGTGAAGATAATTGATACGAGCTATAAGGATAGATAAATGTTAGAACTTAATTTAGAAATATCTGGTCTAGCCTAGCAGTCGTGAAATCTTGCATGAAGGTTTATGGTAAAGCAAAAGCACATGAAAAGGCGTGCCTTCATACAGCATCCTTAGTTTCATAATAAGCATGCTTTAGCATTATACTGTAAGCATATATGCTGTAATATATGCACTATATCAGATATTTCAGTATTGGTCATAAATCGTTACAGGTTGTCTTTTAAGTTAGCCTGTCCTGATAGTTACATTCTCAGCAACTTCCTTGCATTCATCTCAGAGCAGGTTTCTGAAATGTTTTTGTATGTATACCATTGTTTTATTTTTTGTTTACATTATTTCTGTATTGTTGTGAAATGATGCATCTCTTCAATATGTATTTTTCACGCATTTATTTCACACCTGGTAATTGAATTGTACTCACCACTGTTTTCCAGTGGCTGGATATGCTGTAGAATTTTTTGGATTGTTTTAGATCTTGCTGCAAGCAAAAGAATTTTATTCCTGGTTAGCCCAGAGTTCTGTTATTGCTTCAGAGCAGCTGCTTTCTGGGAGGCGTGAGGAGTATTTATTAGCTTGGTTCAGCATGATTGTTAGCTGCTGCTTTTGCAAATTGTAATTCTGTAAAAACGCATAGCTTTTTATGTCTTTACGTGATTTAAATTCTTGAAGTGGTTTAACCACTTTCTGGTGCCACCTTTACCATGGACATTATTGTCATTTTCATGGGGCCTTTTGTATGCATCTGAGGTTTTTGCCTTGCTGCTGTTGAAGCTCTCCTGTCTTTATTGCATTCACCTAAGAGGTGCAATGTCAATTTTTTTGGCAGACATCTCTCACCCTTAAGATTTTCTGTCTGTCCAGCATACTACTTGGACATCCCTATGCTTTCAGTCTGCAGATGAAAAGGATTTTCATTTAAACCAAGTGGTCTTTTTATTAGTCGCTCTGGTATCTCATCCTTTTTACTTCCTCTAACACTCGTTAAAATAAATGAAAACTAGGCTGCATGACTGAATATTAAGAGAACTTTCTCCTCTATACAGAGAACTAAATCTTCGTGAGCTTCTTTGATTCTAGCAGTTGCCTAAGCAATGAACGGTATCTGTTTCTGACTTGGAGTTTATCCTCACAGTTTCAGAGGGTGTCATGGTAGGACGGAGCTTGTAGAAGATTTCCAGTTCAAATGTACTATTACATGAGCAGCTTCTGTAGCTCCCTTGCTCCTCACTGTAAATCTGTAAAGGCAGGCATAGCTGGTCATTATGTATTACTTATAAATAAGTATTTCATTTTGTGAACAAAGGTATTTTATTTATTATTATTCAGTTTATAAATGTTTTAAGATTGGATGCTGCTTTTGGTTTTACTAGCATCTACCTTCAGTTAGACTTTGAGCATTCATTGTTGTCGAGGTGCTTTGGGACCACAAAAGAGAGAGTGTTTAAAGCAAATCACTTACTGAGTAAAGACTAATTTTCTTTCATATACGTTCAAATACTCTCCTCTCTGCTCTTTTTCTGCATCGTCATTGGGTAAGAGTACATGTATATGATATATGCATTTATATCTGACAATAAAGCTCAGTTCCAGTTGTAAATTAGGCTTTGTCCTTTTGCAGTGAAGTCAATTAAACATCACTCTGTTATGAAGCTGTCGCTTCATTAGGAAACAGTCACTGTGGCATGGAGTGAGCAGCAGGAAATACATTTTTTTTGGGACTGTTGAATGGCATATATTTTGTGGTTATGGTTTACTGCATTTGGCTACTTGTTGTTTGTTTTTTTTTCTCCTGTATCTGCTAACTGTAGTTGTGGTAACAGCTGCATCAAAGGGGAATAACTGACTGTTACTCTCCACTGCCAGCATGTGCTTGGTGGAGATATGGGACCTGCTGCTACTGCATGTTAAAGAACCTACAGTCTTGCATTAGATTGTTTGTTCCATAGCAAAATATGGATTTTTCTGTCTTCTGATCTGAATAATACATTCTTCTTCAGTTCTTAAGATAACAAGTTTCATATTAGGAGAACACTATCATTTCCTGAGTATGTAAGAATATATAATGTTTGACACATCACTTTTATAGAACATACACATCATAATGAAAATGTTTATAGCTGTATTTACAATATTATGTAAACACTTTCCTTTTAGTGCCTGTTTAATTTACTTAGATTTTTATTTTAGGGAATGCCTTGTGTTCTACTTTTAATACAAAGGAAGTACATTTCTTATTTAGGGTATTGAACTGCTTTGTTGCTGGCTGCCACATGTCAGAGAACAGTAATTTACTTGACTAGTTTCTTATTTTTTTTCTCTTTCATAAAAACAAGTTCTTCTGCTTTTTCTGTTCTGTTTCTTACTTTTTGATGGAGCACTCAGAACTGAACTGTTTGAGTAAGCAAAACCAAAGACAGTATTTTGCTGCATAATCTATTTTGGAGACTTACTTTACCTAATAGCATTCTCTTAGCTGTTGCCATTTACGTCCATGTTCAGGTTGATATGCTAGGTACAGGAAAACATAGTGCTACCTCCAGTCTTTTGTTTCTACCTGAGTTATTCTGTCCAGCTCCTGCTTTGAAGGCTACTGTGTAGTGGATGCTAGGCCATTAAGTGATGCTGACTGGCATACAGACATGTAATTAGGATAATTTTAAGTGTCTTCCCTGAATCCGTAATGAATGTCTTCATAATGTGTTTGCACATCTGCTGAGGTCTGCTTGTGTTTTAGCTTGCATCTGACTTGTCTGGCAGATCTCATACATCATACACTCACGTAGATCTGCAATGTCAGACTGCAGAGGAAAAATGATAGTAACTATGTTGTTATGCAGTCAGAGTGTCCCCTGGCTTTGTCATCGTTTCAATGTGTCTTTACTGAACTTGGGTAGAAAGCTTGAAACATTGCCAGCCTCCACTGAGCAGTAATGAAAATGCCAGCTGGAAACTTGGTGTGAGTGTTAGAGAGCTGTCTTTTGTGTAACTGAATTACCCAGTATGTCATCTGCCAAACTTTCCTTCAAACTGTAACTCATAAGAGGGGGAAAAGGGGTAAATAATTTAACTCCAGTATGTGCAAAACCACATAGATTATGTTATGCCTGTCTGCAAGGTACAGATTACACCGTTTGTGTTACTGAGAAATGTGGAAGGGTTGGCCATTTATTTGCTTCCCATCCTATATTTCCACTACCAGTGTTTTTTCATTATAGAATCATAGAATTGTTAAGGTTGGAAAAGACCCTTAAGATCATTGAGTCCAACCATTAACCTAGCACTGCCAAGTCCACCGCTAAACCATGTCTTCAAGCACCACGTCTACCTTTCTTTTAAATACCTCCAGGGATGGGGACTCAACCACTTCCCAGGGCAGCCTGTTCAAGTGCCTGACAACCCTTTCAGTGAGGAAGTTTTTCCCAATATCCAACCTAAACTTCCCCTGGCACAGCTTGTGGCCATTTCCTCTTGTCCTGTCGCTTGTTACTTGGGAGAAGAGACCGACCTCCACCTCGCTACAACCTCCTTTCAAGTAGTTGTAAGGAGCAATAAGGTCTCCCCTCAGCCTCCTCTTCTCCAAACTAAACAACCCCAGCTCCCTCAGATGCTCCTCATAGACTTGTGCTCTAGACGCTTCACCAACTTCATTGCCCTTCTTTGGACACGCTCCAGCACCTCAATGTCCTTCTTGTAGTGAGGGGCCCAAAACTGAACACAGTACTCGAGGTGCAGCCTCACCAGTGCTGAGTACAGGGGCACTATCACCTCCCTGGTCCTGCTGGCCACACTATTTCTGATGCAAGCCAGGATGCCATTGGCCTTCTTGGCCACCTGAGCACACTGCTGGCTCATGTTCAGGCGGCTGTCAACCAACACCCCCAGGTCCTTTTCTGCCAGG